GGGGTTTGGAAAATCAAAGATGGAAACTATTCAAATGCTTCACGAAGTGGTGCCTCTCTTATCATTTGCATTCAATATATACACATATACGTATTTGCATACACCCACATACCACAACACTAACAACAAAAGAGTGGTTTGACTTATTTTCATCATAATATCACTTACAAATCACGTTGATCAACGCAACAAATGACAATTCACCTAACATTAAGGTAACACTTCCACTCTAAAGAAAAATATTAATGCCATTTCTATGGTTACCAGAGAAGTTTGTTGACGAATGATTAAAGGTGCCATTTTTTAATACTGTACGTGGGCTGAAAGGGATGCAAGTAATCTAGCAAGCTAATCGAAGGCAACGTAATGTACTTTATTTGGTGTGTGGGAGAATTTGACACCAGTCTTTCATTTTGCTCTATCTTACTCTCTTTTCATACACCTGTTTACCCATTCGAAATGGGAATTAAAGCAAAGTGACCATCTGCCAGTGTGCTATGCTTTCTCGTACCATGGCAACTGGGACAGAGGGAGGAGTTGTCTCGTGGCGCCTTATTTGTTAAGTGATTGAATGGCAAACACTAGGGTGTGCTCCCCTTCCACCAGCTTTATTGAATGAAGGGGGAGTGAACTTGACATTTACATTATCATCTCTCGCATTGTGATAAATCAGCTAGTCTTACAGTCTGCACATTTTTAATGCTAAAGAAAATTTGGTTTCGTATTTACTACGTTGAACTGTCAATTTTTTCCATATGCGTCACCGCTACACTGCTAAAAAGGTGATGGTAGTCAGCAATCAAAATAGCTGACCGATCTGATAACTTGTGTTTGTTTTGACCTTCCGTGCTTGAGAGTGTTTATAGGGGTCAAACGAAGTCGTTCTTCACACGATGAATGATGACCAAAAGCTCCTTTTCTCCCCTTCGCCTTCTTTCTCCTCCCCTGTTTTCCCACGCTGCCAGATAGTTCGAATGGAACTTTGAAAAACATGAGAAAAATAAAACGCTGCTAATAGGCCTGGAAAATAACACCACCATGAACAAGCTACTCATCATGATAAATCCAACACTCCTTCAATGTTATTCCAAAAAGCTGTATTTTAGAGCATCCATCACTAACACAAGTCGTTGGTGCTGCGACACCTGCACAATTCATTGGTTGAGAAGTACTTTTTCATGCAAACTAACTCATAATTGCAATCATCAGACCCGTTTAACTTCTTACTGCTTAATTTAATTGCAGAGTACAGGATTAACTTATCTTCAGTGGGCGAACTCCCCATTCAATTTGCACATTCGCTACTAGCCACCGGCATCGCAATGATGGAAAATTCAGAATTTTATTCAGCGTTATAAACTGATGGTGTGATTTTCATTTTAAATGCTCTACGTAACTTTATAAGCAGAGCCAAATCCTAAGCATAATTATCTATTTGAGTGGAGGCACTCGTTGCGCTGCTGTCTTCATATGCTCGGCACCATTAGGGAAAACTGAAAACATTTAAATGTAAATAAAGGTTTGCTGGGATTGGAAAGGTGGGAAAGAAAATCCCCTTGTGGATAGTGATTTTTAAGTGGTATACGTTCGATACTTCAAAAATGGTCCCTTTCTCTACTTTGACAACAATTTGTGGGTAAGAGAATTTTTTCGAAAGGCTCCCAAGGTGGGGCCTTTAGTAGCAAGAAGGCATGGCAAATGACCAAGTTACTCTCGCTCAATCATGATAGAGCTGTTAGATATCGGTTGAAGTAAATTAACAAGGTTGTTTATTCGACTAAAATTCTCCAAAGTGCCGAAAAGTAAAGTGGAAGGGGTGTGGAAGGAAGAATTGACAATGGTTTCGGTCGACGTGGAAGAATGGAAATAATGAGGCCACTATCATCGCTCCCCCTTTTCATTTTTGGCTTTGTGGGCAAACGCTTGTGCTGCAGATGGGAGGAAGGCGTTGTTAGAGGCGTAGAAGTTGTCAATGCATGGTGACTTTCCTCGTGCCTGAAAGCCAAGGCTCAAGGAGATACGATCTCCTTGACTTTTTTTCAGAAATCCTCTCCTACAGCCTCCTTGGACTTGAAGGTCGTGCCCTGGCGTCGAACTTGCTGCTATTCCGACTTTTCCACTAATGAGAGCCCCAGCCTGTGTACTTTCACTTTTAGTTCCGGTTCGCTATTAACAAATTCATATAAGCTCTGTAGCATACTCATGCTCTGGCTCAGAAGACCCATGACCTCAGCCTTTTGATGCAGCTGCTGCTACGGCTAAAATTGTGACCCGGGAATAGAAATCGAGCCTAATTTTCAGCCAAACATGCCGATATAGCCCACTTTTAATTTAATTAACCAACCAAATAGGATGGTGGTGTTGTGTACGTTTCCAATTCTTGCTTTATGAGGAAGGAAAACTTTTAGTTAGATGAGAAGATTCTGTACACATAATGTCTGCATGGTAGCTACCGAACCCCAACTACTGCTGTGCAGATGCAGAACAATTTGTAGAACTGAACAGCATAAAACAAGATGAGTTAGGGAAAGCAGAGACACAGCTCACACTTTTATTAACAAAGGAGACAGCAAGACTGCGATGGGTTAACAGTTTGTCCTAAAAGTAAGCTCAGCGTCGACGCTCCATATTCCTTTTGTTGACCTAGGAAAAAAGAGAACAGAGTGGGTAGACATAGTCCAGGCACCACACTCACTGTTCATACGAATCGCTCACAGCATTTCAGGAAGAGAGAAGAAGAGTTAGGCAGTTCCCTTATCAAGGAAATCCCCTGATCGCATCCTTCTTGTCCTTCACTCCGGCGGATGCGGCACCTTTTCCTACACGCACACACCAACCCCAAACGTCTGACTCGACTCACCATCTAGCGCTTGCACATATCGTGGGCATTGCCGAGAAAATAATGCATTATTACAATTCCCACTTGATAGTTCTTTCTAGTGTACAGCTATCGATTTTGTGACTGCGCATTTTAATGCATTATGCCCTCTATCTAGAATCAGACAACATGGAGAGTAATTAATCTTCGTCCTACTTTCTGACCATCTGTAGATGGCTTTTCTTGCACAACCTTCAAAGAAGATAGCACCA